AGGGGGAGGCTGGAGAGAAGAAGGAAGGGGGGTTGGGAGCAGTGGGGGTTGGAGGGTGCAGATATTTGGGCTGCGGTGGCATCTCGGCTCCCCCGCCCCTACCCCAACCTGCCCATCAGCAATTTGTGCCAATCGATTGAGTAGGGGAGGCGGGTGCTGTGAGCAACGCGGGCTGGCCAGGAACGAAGAGATTTAGGAGCAAGATCAGTGCACGCCGTTGCTGGGATCTAGCTATCCCGTAACCCTCCATGTTCCCGTCCCCCTCCACCCCTTTCCTTTGGCTCCAGTTTGCCAGCACAGCGCCTGAGAAGGGAAAGCAGGCAGTGTGCCTTCCCGAGATCCAGGCTGCCCTAACTTGTGCCACGCTTGGCGTATAATCCTCCTGCCTGGAATAGCGCAGCAGCCTCTTTTGAGACGCAAGGGGAAGATTCAGGAGGTGGGAGACAGGAATCTGCCTGGGTACTGAGGGCTGCTAGCTAAGAGGGAGAGGGGATGTGCTTACTGGGGGGTTGGTCTAGGGTGTATGTGGGTAAACAATGCCTGACTGGGCCCACATTGATGGGTCTAGGGCCTATCTCTCTCTCTCTTGCTATTTCGCACTCTATCACTCTACCCCTACACCCCATCTATCTATCTATCTATCTATCTATCTATCTATCTGCATTTCTGTAGGCCTAGGGGCAGAGGTGGATTAGAGGTTTGTGGGGCCCTGAGCCAGAGCAAGTGGGGACCCTTCCCCACACCTTCCTTCCCATCCACCCCCACCCTGTGCTCCGGCTAGGGAAATGGAGTTAGGGCTTGCCCTGCCCCATTCCCCCCACCCCCACCCAGCATGCTTGCTGGAGAGTGGGGTTGGGGGATGGGGGTCTCCCCATGGAAGTGGGGCAGTTCCCCACATCCCAACCCTACTCTCTGGCAGAGTGTCAAATGGGCAGAATGGAGCAAGCTCCCATGTCGCAACCCTGGGCACAGAGATGCGGGGGTGCCCATTTTCCAGGCCCCCCCCCCCCCCGCGGGCGG